AGAAGAGGTTTATTTTTTTATTTTGGAGGAAAACAATAATCATTGTACCGGTAAGCTAAAATGCTGCAGAGAGCCTCTTAAAATGATTTGAGGTATTAAAAAAAAACTGCAAGACTTAAAGTAGTCTGATATATAATTTAGATCATACTGTATTTGAGCCTTGCACATTTTCCTCTTTGTATTTTTTCTCATTCTGAAGATTTTTAACTTTTGGGAATCAGACTTTTTTTTTTTTTTTTTTGCTTTAACAAATAAATAGGTTAATCTTAAGCATTTTATCATTCATACACTTCTATAAAATAACAAGGTTGGCAACTAAGAAGGAATATCTATTAGATTTGACATTTTATGTTGAAATAGCTTGTTAAATATTCAATATCTTATCCTATGGCTCTATTTTTGTCGTGCCCATACAGTAGTGATATTGGCACCGATTAACTTGTGCTTGTCATTTTAGATCAAACTTTGCCAGAAATGATTTAGGAAACATCCTTTGTGTAATAAAGTGGAAGCACTTATATTTGCCATTCAGGGAGTATGGGAGGCCTGCTGTTTTAAACCCCCAGATCCCCCACACATGGCGTAGCCACCACAGACACGGCTCAGAGAGCCAGCCAGCAGCCGGGAGGTGAGCAGAAAAGAACAGGCGGTGTCCCCTCCAGAGTGAGCACAGGAGTGTGAGAATGTGTGTGTGTGTGGCATTCTCAAATGACTAAAGGATACCAGTTGTGCAGTTCACCTGGGAGGACACATGGAGGTGGTATGGGGACTCACCTGAGGGAGAGTCTTGGCTGTGATGGGAACTGGGGTTGCAGGAGATGTCTGAAGTTTTGGAGGGGGCGCAGGAGGCCATCGTGCCATGCTGTAGGTTTGTAGGCTTGAGGGAGAAAAGTGGGCTGCTGTTGCACAGTCTCCCCAGCGTGATGCATCTACCTTCAGGGTGGCAGCAGGCGTGGAGTGGGGTGCGATGGAGCGAGCACGGGCTCAGTGGCGCGGTCACCAAGGGACGCTGAAGCTGCTGTAGCAGGACTGATAGTTATTCCTTGGGAGAATTGCAAGATGAGCCCCATTGTATTAGTAAACCCCCTTCTACTAAAAGTGTTATCCGTGTTCTCAAGCCCTTTAAAAACTCAAGTTAATGCAAAAGATTTCATTGGGAGATGCTATGAATCCTCAAACATGTTGGTTTATTTTGAACCAGAACGGCTGTCACTGTCAAGAGTTAAAATTCAGTGACTTCCTTTAGCAGTGAGAAGCCAGAAAATCATTCCGTACAGAGTTGAAATTCTCAGACATGAAGCTTTTTTAATTTCCAAGCCACACTTTTTTTGCGTTGATACTGTTTGAGAAATATCTTTTCGAAAATTCTCTGTGTCTAATATGGTCAGCACTCCCAATTATTCACTCCACTGACAAGTGAAACAAATGGGACCAACCAGTGCATTCTGTATTATCTACACCCCTTGGATTCCCTGACAATAATTAATACAATAGCAAGCTGCTGTTACCAGCCTTGACGACACAAGCTCAACAACATAAGCTCTTTTTTTCCAAGAGCTCTTGAGAGGAAAATGCATCTGGCAATGTGGTTGTATTTATATATGGTCACCAGCAGCCATGATGAGACATTCTGCTGTCTGGAAGCCCAGATCAGATAAAGATCCTGTTGTATGGAGCGGTTAACGTCACAAGGTCATTATTCACATCATTACACCATGGATGTAAGGTGCAAGGTATATGTCAAGAATATATGAATGTAGCCCTTACCACTGAGATATACACATCCTTTAACAGCAAAGGCTGCCTCATATATCAAGGAAGTTCATTAACATGCCACACGATTTTACTGATGCAGCGCTGCTGACCACCTCACTGGTACTGTATGGTCACACACCATTATGTAGTTTTACTTCATTGCTCATAGTACAGATAAACAGGAAACATTTTACTAATCTATCATTTAAGTATTGTGTAAACTAGAAAACAGGTATTGAAATTTAAAAAATATATATTTTACATACTGACCAGTGAATCCAGTAAGAGCTGTCATGCTCTTACCCTTCTGATTTTAGTCTATAAGGATATTAAAAGTCTTTTTTTTTTAATTATAGGGGAGCACATTCCCACAACATCCATTAAAGGAATGCCTTGCTAATTTTAAACCCTCGCAGCAGGCATTGGCATCAACAGAAGAGAAGTGGATGAGTTTCTCTTTAACAGCTGTAATTTGTGTTTTCCAATCACCATGCTGATTTCTGCTCATTATACTCTGGTTTCACACCGGTAAGTGAGCAAAGTTTGGATTGATTGACTCTAATTAACTAAAAAATGTTCCAAGCCACAGATTTATTATCATGCTAGCTAGCCACAAATGTCAGAGACTTTCACAAATTATTATCCTCTTAAGATAAATATCTTTGAAATCAAACGGGTGTGGAAACACGGGGACCACGTATTGTTGTGCTGATGAATTTGTTTGTCATGTTTTCTGCTGAGCTCAACATGAAAGACTTCACCTGGGCAAACAATCCGTTCCAGTGTTACAGTACGCAGTGTGACTGACTGACAGAGGCTGGAGTTGGGTAAAGGTTGCAAAATTCACTTCATAAATCCCACTTTGCTACATAAATTATGTTCTGGTGCAGGCATTAAGAATGTTTAAATGAGTTTTTCAAATTTAAATATAACAAAAACAACTACAATATATGAAGCTGTGTCCAATTATGCTAACAGGAACCCTACTCTCTTTTGTGCTCTAAACTTGGCAGCATCTCCCTCTTTGATATTTTAGACACAAAGCTACTCTCTCAACTCAAATTCTTTCCTTGACTCCATCGGCTCCATGGTTCAACTCTGCACTTTCTTGTGAACGGCAGGACGATTTGAGAGGACACTTCCATTTCCCCAGTTTTAAAGCTGAATTTTTGTTTAGCTAGAGAAGACAGAACGTTGCTCTGATTCGCTCGGCTTCACTTCAGTGATCAAAAGCGATTACTGAGGTGAATCCACATGAATCGGACCCATCGTGTGCATGGTGGCGCCAGGCTGAAATTGAGAATCATCCTGCCAGTAAATCAGATTTTCACAACATGTCTCTTGCAAAATATGCCTTTTATACAAAGCTACAAAAATCTGCTATCTTGGCTTTGATCGTTGCAGAGTGCAAAGGCAAAGCGAGAATTTTGCTGTAAATTTTATCCCCAACATACTGAAACAAGTATCAAATATGGAAGAAAATACATCTCAGCTGTCAAGTGCTCCTCATTAGTACTTCCACAGTCAGCCTGTTAAGAGTAGCAGCATTTAGGTGTGTGCACTTGGAGGCACGCCTGCAGATGAATGTGATGACATCCAGTTGTGGCTCACTTTCATTTATTTAGGGGATTGATTAGACGCATGGTGAGCAGATAAATGTGTTGCAGATGCACTTTCATTTAAGATATTGCAATATAGTCAGGAGAGGATATGAGGAATATGAGATGGACTGAACATTTTTCTTTTAAAGGTGTTTTTGGAGATCTGCAAGCAGCCCACAACATTAGTAATAAAATGCTGAATGCAATACATACAAAGGTATGTTTTAAAGTAAAGAACTGTACTGTAATCTGAAAATCTGAAAATAGATTTATTGCAAACATTATTTTTTTTGTTTGTTTGATACAGCTGTTTATATTCTCAATCATTAAACAATGTTGAATATTAGCTTAAACATTTAAATTATGGTAAATTTTAAGATTCTAGACAAGATCATGCTTCAGTCACTTATCTTTCCAATGCTGTTGTGTGCATACTGCCCCCTTCTGTCCCCACAAGAAGAAGAAGACATCTGGCAAAAAAACAAAAAACAACTGATTCTTTATTGACAGAAAGTAGAGGATGCCAAAAAGAACTTCTAAACTGTTTCCATTGCAGGTCATTAATATTGGTGGCAATAAAATATAAAAAATGAACAAAATCTGGACTTATTCAGAGAAAATATGAACAATGTTATTTACATATTCATATTTTATGTTATGATGTACTACTGCTTGGATTATTTGTCTGCCATGTTTTATATATATATATATATATATATAT